TTACTTTAAACCGCATAAACACATTTCATTACACCAAATACACAAAATAATGTTATTTTTAGCAACATCATATGACCCCTTTAAATACAGCATTGTAAAGCACCCATACATGATTCTAAAGCCACAGCTTCTGAAATTTAATGCAATGAGCCCAAACTGCTCAGAAACGATGTTACACACCAGTTGCATATAGTGTGTACAGCATGATCATTTGCTTTGCAAACTTCGTACCCTTATAAAATATTTACATTAACCAGCTTCAGATGCAAAATAACAACCACCTATGGCATGACTTCCCACAATCGGAGACAGAACAAGGTTATGTTTAGATTGTAAATAGCATGCTATTTTATCTTTGCAGTATGTAGTGTGTGTAGAGTATGCAAATTCTCTGCATGCACAAGATACCCAGGTTATCTGCTACATTTACTAAAATGTGCAGTATAAACTCGACCTTTTATTTCCAGTGTGATGAATGAAGTGGAAGTAATACCAGCTGCAATTTCCAATGTTTTTATCACTACAGTATGATAAAAGTACAACACTCATACAGAAATATGCATTAAAGATGCAAAATAACTATGTGTAACTACTATAAATACCAAGCATAGCATATTACTGTTTGAAATAGTAGACCTAGATCGATTTGCAGAGTTACAGGCAACTCTCTAAAGGTAAATTCAGTGCAAAATTTAGAGTGAAAAATGGTGGACACATACAATACAGCTTGTTCAACCAGTAGCCGAATGGTGTATTATCATTTAATGACTGGGCTCTATTCCAGTTCAACAAAAGCTTAGAAACACACTGGACTTCAGGCCATTTTCCCAAAGGGCTCTTGAGTCATTACACTGCAATCAAAATCAGACAGTTTGATTCACTAACATAACACGGAAAAGCAAGACCACCAGAAGGCCACTGTAAAAGACAACTTTTACATCATTGAGGCAGAACGTGATTGATGACAGGCAAATACAACTTCAACCCAGTTCACATGTAACAATACTAGCTATGTAACTGCATTAAGAAAATTGCCACTTAACATTTGCGTTGTGTTCCATAAATAAGTTACGAGGCAAATAATATTAGAAACTAAAACACAAAAATCATCATACTGGTTACAAACCAATAGGGCTGGGTATCGATTCAGATGTCCCGATTCGATTCGATTTCGATTCGCAAGCTCTCGATTCGATTCTCGATTTTTTGATTACGTTCAGTGAATATAGTTTTAACACAAATGCTATTGATATTTCTAAAAAATGAACGGTAAACATCAGTTTACAAATGGTGAATTAATAAAAAGAAATTAAGAACCACAAGCCTGTATTTTTAAACCCCTATTCTTTTTTTTTTGTATAGGGTCCTTTTTTAAACAATAATAGGGCCCTATAAAATGTTCTTAATTTTTCTGGTAATCAGATGAAGGCATAAAACATTAATTTAATTTATCCTAATCAAATGAAAATTAAACCCTTTTATTTTTTGGTAAACAAAGTGCTGCACAACAGAGGTTTACTGTAAAAATTAAGAAAACAGATGTGATTATTTCTTTAAAAATAAATATTTATTAATATTTATTAGCAGTAGTAAACACACTTCCAGGCTTCTCACATCATCTGAATAATCACATGGAAAAATATAGCAAGTTGAAAAAAACAACAATAATGCACAAGTAAAATAAACAATATTGTGTGTTTGAAAGTCATTATTTTAACTGATATATATATATATATATATATATATACACACACATACATAAACATATATATATACAAATTTATAACAAAATTATGTTTTTGCCCCCATTTGTCATGAGCTGAACTCAAAGATCTAAGACTTTTTCTATGTACACAAAAGGCCTATTTCTCTCAAATATTGTTCACAAATCTGTCTAAATCTGTGTTAGTGAGCACTTCTC